GGGAACCAGATAGTTCTGATTTCTGTTTCTGGCCTTGATTCCATCTGCAAATTTTGGCAAGTCATTTGATGTCTCGGTATCAGAATCATCATCTGTAAAAAAAAAAAATTTGGAAAAATGTTTATTATTTATATCAAAGCACTAAACATTATAAAATAAAGCAATAACTATTTTTGATATAATTTTGAATTCCAATAGAAACTAAGGACTTAGATTTAGCCATTAAGAGAGATGTTATCTATATACCACAAACAAATAAAACAACCTGCCCAAATAAGCAAATGCTTTTAATTAGACAAGAATATATATATATATATATATATATATTTTTAGTTGTAGTTAGACATTTTTTATGTGGTGCTGAGAATCGAACCCAGAGCCTTGCACATGCTAGTGCTCTACCGCTGAGCTACAACCATAGCCCAAGATCACTTTTTGAACTTGCTTAGGAATTTTAAGTTTCTGAGTTTGAATAAGCCTTTATTTCCTCAGCCCAGGTTCAACCAAGTTAGCATGGGGAAATGGAAATGCAGGTCATTGACAAAACTGGGTTTCAACATGTTTTATTTTTGCAGTACTGGGGCTTGAATCTAGGGATGCTATACCACTGAGTTAAATACCTAGCCCACGTTTTTTTTTTTTTTTAATAGACTTTATATAAGTTTCAGATTTATAGAAAGTTATGAAGATCGAGTTCCTATGTATCTCATGCTGTTTCTCCACTATTAACATCTTACAGTACATTTGTTATAATTAATGATGGATATATTACTTTTTAAAAAATTATTACTATTTTTTTTTTTAGTTTTAGGTGGACACAATATCTTTATTTTACATTTATGTGGTGCTGAGGATCGAACCCAGTACCTCATGCATGCTAGGCAAGCACTCTACTACCGGGCCATAATCCCAATCCAATGACAGATATATTACTAGTGATTCATTAATATCCCTACTTTACCCAGTATGTCTTTTTTCTGTTCCAGGATCCCATATTATATTTAATTATCCTGTCTCTTTAGGCTATTTTGAGGACTACTGGTCAGGTATCTTGTAGAATATCCCAATAATGGAATCTGCTGTTTCTTTTTTATGGTTACATTGGAATCATGAGTTACTGAGCAGCACAATTCTGAAGTAAACTGTGATGTAAATGTGATGTGCTCTTGGTAAGAGTGCATACTATATCAACATGACTTGTAACTGTTGATGTTGACCTTGTTCACCTGGCTAAAGTAGTAGTTAAGTTTCTCTACTTTCCTTTCATACTTTATCACAATTAAACAGTGAGAAGTTATGTTCTATCTCCTTGAGAAAAAGGAGACAGAACATAATTCCCCTCTACATAAATAAATTTCTTCTATACAGGAGATTTGTTTTATAGCCCTTATTTATTCAGTCATCTACATCAGTATAGACTTTGGATATTTAATTGATTCTTTAGATTATAATTTGATTTTTTTAATTCCCCAAATTATTTCAGCTTTGGTTATTGGGAGCTCTTTCAGATGGATTCTTATGCTCCTTAAGCATTCTCCTAATAAGTGTGTGTGTGAATGTGTGTGGTTTCTAGGTAGTGAGGTTTTTTTTTTTTGTACCCAGGCCCTTTTAACTTTTAAACTTTAAATATTTCCTTTTTCCCTCCCTCTCATCCTCTCTCCCCTTGGTCTCTTTCTCTCTCTTTTTTTGTACTTAACTACCATAGGTATAAATCCCAGGTCCTTTTTATATTTTATTTTGAGACAGGGTCTTGTTAAATTGCTTAGGGCCTTGCTAAGTTGCTGAGACTGGCTTTGAACTTGCAATTTTCTTGTCTCAGCCTCCTGAGACAACTGGGATTACAGACATACACCACTGTCCCTGGTTTCCTCCCTTTACTCCCTTTGATTTTCATGAGATGCACCCCACTTTCTTTTCCCTGTCTAGCTTCTACATATGAAAGATAACATATAAGTCATAACCTTCTGAGTTTGGCTTACTTTGCTTAACATAAGGTTCTGAAGTTCCATTCAATTTTCCTGCAAATGACATAATTTTTCTTTATGGTCCTTAGTCCTTCTTAAAATATTGAGATAAGGTCTTGCTAAGTTGCCCAGACTGGCCTTGAACTTATAATCTTTCTGCTTCAGCCTCTTGTTTTGTTTTGTTTTGAAAGGACTTTTCTGTTCTTGCCCCAGACCTAACGTCAACTATTTCTCCAGGGGACTTAGTTCCTTTTACTTATGAATGGTATTGGAAACCATGATATGGACACAAAATGTCACCATTGCTCCTGAAGTATCACTGCTTGTAGGTCCTCTCAGTTTAACAGAGCAAAAAATGTGTGTGTGTACTACCGCATCTATTAACACTAACGTATATCAATCTGAATCTATATCAAGCTAAATGTAAGTTCACAATGATAGCCCTGAGTCCATGTGTGCTTTATAACGTATGTTTCTGTGATTATAATAGAAGTCCAAGGAATTCGTTGTGTCAGTGATCACTGAGTTCATGTGTGCTTTATAACGTATGTTTCTGTGATTATAATAGGAGCCCAAAGGAATTAGTTGTGCCAGTGATCACCAGAGAGAAGACAGTAAGTATAAGTTGTTATCATTCTACTCAATGCCTAGAAAATAAGAGTCATTAGGAGATACAAGATTCATAACTGTTGATGTTGACCTTGCTCACCCTCTGTTCATTAGCCTTTCAGACTGAGAGGTATAGCTGAGTGGAAAAGCTATGGAAATACTGTTCTTAACCTTCCACCATAAATGCTCCCAACTCCACATCACTCCTGCTTTGCCACCAATTGCTACACAATTAAAAAGGATTTAGGAAGGTGTGTTTTTTATTCATATGTCTGGAAAAAAGTTAAAAAATGAAATTACTTTCTTGCTTTCTTAAAAGAAAAATACCAAACACCACATTTTCTTAAGTTATACCAAATTCATACTCTTGCCTGCTTTGAAATCATTAACTCAATATTTTATATCCTCCCCCCCCCTTTTTTGTGTGTCGGGGGAGATACTAGGCATTGAACCCAGGGGCACTCTACCACTAAGCTAAACCCATAGTCCTTTATTTTTTTGAGACAGGGTTTTGCTAAATTGCTGAGGCTGGTCTCAAATTTACTATCCTCCTATCTTGGCCTTCCAAGTTGCTGGGATTATAGGCATGTGTCACAACACCCAGATCACCTACCATTTCAAATAAGAAAAAAAAAAAAAATGTAAAAGCATTTATTTTTTCTTTTAGCAGTGATAGGATGAAACCCAGGGCCTCATTCATGCTAAGCATGGGCTCTACCATAGAGCTATCTATATACTCAGTCACTGTAAAATCAATTCAAAGAGAAATAAGTATTTTGGAAAATATTAAATGTACCTTTGTTGTCAAAATATTTTAAGTCTGGCTGTCTCATAGAGCAGACACTGTAACAATGATCAGAAAAAATCCCATTGAATCCATCTGCAATTCTACTTATTCCAGAGGAATCTGAAATAAAACAATAGAAGAAAATTTTAAAATGTTTCAAACATACATATATCTTTAACATATTCAAATTCACATTATTTTAGAAGATAACTCCCTCCCTCCCTTCCTTCCTTCTGGATCCCAGGGCCTTGTGAATATTATGTAAGTAGTACTCTACCACTGAGCTATGTCTTCGGCACAAATTTTAATGATAAAAAAAAATATAGCATCTATAATGAAAGTGTATTTTTCTCAGTTTTAAACTTTTATATTTCAGATCTAATACTGACATTTAGCTTTAAGAAAAGCATAAATTACAGACTTTAAAATATAATAACTTTGAAATACATAAGGATAAAATTTTCCTTACAATCAGAATCTCACAAAATACAAATACATAGGGCTAGGATATAGCTCAGTTGGTAGAGTGCTTGCCTTGCATGCGCAAGGCCCTGGGTTCAATCCCCAGCACCATGGGGGGAAAAATACAAATATATAATGAATGCCTTGTTAACTGCACAAAACAGTGAGAGGTATGCCATCAGGCAAAGAAAGCATAATACATAGGGGAAATAGCCTGAGGAGTCCAATGAAAGCTTCTGAATATAATCACTTCAAGTTTTGCCTGGGAAACACCAGTAAGCAGTAGACCAGGCTTAATTTCCTCAGATAAGAAGAATAAGAGCATGGAGTAAGCTAACAGGTATGTCTGAGACTGTCTCAAGTATGTGTAAGCTATATCAGAAATGGCCATAAAGACCTCTTCATATTGTCAATACAACACAGCCAACTTCAATCACATAGTCAAATTGAAAGTTCACATTTCTGAAAAGAATGTATAGGATAAAGTTTTGTTCCCTCAGTAATGCAAAATATTTTCAAATTATAATTGTGTCTTAAGCACAGCTTGGTAATCAGACAGTCAAAGCTCAATTATGCTATATAATTTGTAACGATGGTTAACAAATTTTAAATATCTATAACCCATGGAATTATGAAAATTAAATACAATAATGTCTTTAAAGTTCTAACATGTCTGTCTCTAGCACATGGTAGACAATAAGGAATATATATTCAGAGAATTTAAAATTTATCTGACCTAAAAATTGATCAGATATTTAAGTCTTATCTAATCATTTGAGAAAATGGATAAGAATACAATTTCTTTGAAAATATACACACTCACCTTTAAATTAATTAACTTATACACTAACCTGAATAACGAGAAGGGTGTAAAGTCTTCCTTTTTCTTTTTTTAGGATACTCATTCATATCTTTTCAATCTAAAAAGTAAAAACATTTAATAAATATCACAAATAATTGTTAATGTTATAATAAGAATTATTTCTAACCAAAGAATTGCACTAAGAAATGTGTGTGCCACATGAAAATAAACCTTGTACAAGAAATGCTATACAATGTCTCTGTTTATATTTTGGATTACTTTTCCTATTAAGCTTAGAGACAGGACACTGATTTCTGCATTCTTTCTAACTAAGATGGAGAAATTCTTTTTCAAATGTTGTAATGATAAGAATTGGATAATTATAATAAAACTTATGCTTAAAATTTTTATTTTAAAAAGCCCATTATGCTATCAAATCACATTTCCTGCAATTGGGAATATTTTTATTCAGATTTCAAGCTAAAGGTGGCTACACTAAAAAATATATTGTTACCACCTCTGTATTGACTCACAGCTTCCAGAAAAAATATGCATCACATAGAACCTCAGAATATAAATAATTTTTAAGAAAAAAAATCCTTAACTTATTGATAAAGTCACATTTGCTATTCTACTGAGTCAGAAAAGGTGTGGCAACCATTGTATGATTAATTTACCATCAACTGTTTTTGTTTTTTGTGGTACTGGAGATTAAATCAGGGGCATTCTACAATTGAGCAATACCCAGTCCTTTTCATTTTTTATTTTGACACAGGTTCTCACTAACTTGCCCAAGCTGGCCTTGAAATCCCCTTGCTCCTGCCTTAGCCTCCCAAGGTGCTGGGATTATAGGTGTACACCACCATGCCTGGCTCCCACATGAACAGTTATATAATATAATTTTATATACCACTTACTTGGTATAATTCTTAATATTTCAGTGAGGAAAAATGAATTACAAAGTTTCCACAGGTGGTAAAAAAAATACCTGTAAGTTAAACATGACAAAAGTCATATAAGCAAAAGTGTGGCTCATTTCTGAGATTCAAAACTACAATTATTCCAGATATTTAATTAACTAGAAAAGTATAAAGAAATAATTCAAGCATAATACTCTTTTGAGTGTATTTTTTTTTAAAGAGAGAGAGAGAGAATTTTAATATTTATTTTTTAGTCTTTGGCGGACACAACATCTTTGTTTGTATGTGGTGCTGAGGATCGAACCCGGGCCGCACGCATGCCAGCCGAGCGTGCTACCGCTTGAGCCACATCCCCAGCCCTTGAGTGTATTTTACTAAACACTAAAAACTGTATATACTGATGTGATTATTTATATAAATTTTTCATATTCCTTTGACTTTACCTTCTAAAGTTATAGCTATGAATGACCTCAAAATAGAAATAAATCTGCATTAATATTTTAATCTATTCAGCTGAATGGGAAGTAAACATAGAGAAAACAAATACTGAATCATAGACCTGAAATGGTTAAGGTTCTTAACCAGCCATACAGCAAACTGTGAACCTGTTATGCAAAATCCATAACACCCTCCCCAAATTATTATTTACTCCTTGTTATTGATTAATCAAAGTTGGCTACTAAGTAGTGAGGTTGGGATTTGAATATAAGTCTAACTAATTTTATTAGGAAAAAAATTTTTTTTTTTGGTCCTGGGGAATAAACCCAGGGCCTTAGGTTGCTCTACCACTGAGCTACATCCCTAGCCACATCTAACCAATTTAGAAACAAAGTCTTCAATTACTTTATTTAGTGTTGGAAACAAACAGGGAGATAAAGTCACCAATCCAGTTCCAGTAGATTAGTGTTTAAATCAGAACTACCCCCTCATTTCAGAAGAGTGCCTGTCCACAGAAGCATGGGCAAGGAGGGAATGCCAGAAACCGAAATCCAGTGTCATGTGCTGTTTTTCTTAACACCAAAGGTGATTTTCTCATTTCTAGTGATAAAGAATTGAGGGGCACATACTATTTTTGCTGCTTTACTAAGTTCTGGGTATATCAGCACTAGATGCAATCATATAGTAATATATTACTTCAGTTTATTAAGGATTTTCCTAACCCTTATTCTAGATTGTCTTTTAAAAAATTCTGTGATGTACACTGAGAGGCTTACTGTTCAACCCACCTCAATTTTACTGATGAAGAAACATATTCAGTGAAAGTCAAGTCAACTAAGAAATGGCAAAACCAGAGATGCAAATACATGTCTTCTGATTCCTGGACATTGAATAACTCTAACTGTATGTGGGTACATCTTCATGGCTAAGCACTGCCACCACCAAGTTACATCTTGTTTCCAGTTCTTTCTCGGCCAACAATTGTAAGGAGGGGAAGACCATCACCTAAGAAAAACTGACAAACACGAATTTTACAGAAATGATATAAATGCCTCACCAGCATATATAAAATGCCCACCCAACAACCTAAAGAGCATTCTTTTGAGTTTCCAGCCCAATCCAATGCATCCAAATATCAAAAAGGCTATTTTCATCTTTATATAATAAGCTAAATTTCCAAGACATAAAACCTTTTATACACTTCGAGAATTTTTATAGCCAAAAGCTTCAGAATTCATATTCTATACACTCTAAAACAACAAAAACTTTTTGTATGCATAATTATCTTGATGAAGAAATATGATTTTTTTTATTCAAAGCTATCAATATAAACATTTATTCACTAAAACAGGTTTGGCGGCAGAACACACCTATAATCCCAGCCACTGGGGAGACTGAGGAAGGAGAAGCATAAGATCAAAGTCAGCCTCAGCAATTTAGCGATTTACCTTAAGTCCAAATTAAAAAAAAAAATTATTTTTTTTTAAAGGGCTGGGGCTGTAACTCAGTGGTTGAGCACCCCTGGGTTCAGTGTCAGTACCAAAACAAATATTTGCTCACCAATTCTCCTCCTATCACAAAGATTTTTAATCACATGCAACTTACCACTCATTCCCCTCTCCCCACTTAAGTACAAACTATACATAATGTTTCCCCGCGGGAAAATTAAAATTACTAAAAAAAGCAAATCACCTACAATCCATTTACCTGGAAAAACCACTATTAACATTTTGGTATGTACACCTACACTTCTTCCTATGATGTGGTATACATTCACAAAAGGGGGGGGCTATAAGAAACATTTTTTTAAAAAATTATTTTAGCAATACAAGTTAGCATCTTTCTCACCCGTCATTTTTTTCAACAAGAATGTCTATATACAAAAAACAGTTCTCATACTGTGCCTTTTGTGCAATGCAAAAGTCTTTCTTGCTAAATGCTATAAGACATGTTTACAATAAGAAGCTACATTTTAAACAAGTTTTAAAAGAGCTAAACTTTCCTTTTTATCTTCATAAAAATAAGTATATATTTTCTGGATTTTTTTAAAAATTGAAACAAAATGTTTCAGGAAAGTATGAACTAGAGTCCACTATATATCCAACTCGGACTCAGTCTCTACTGAAATACTCTAGCACAATCGGTATCTGTTTGTAAGGAGATAAACTGCTTAATTTACTGGTGTCCCTAGGCTGCACTTCAAAGAAAGCCAGAGAGGGTGGCAGGAGGGGGCTTAAGCACCCGAACGGGTGGGTCTGGGCAGCTCTGGGAGACTGGGCGCCGGGACCGACGCGAGCACCAAGATGCGCCGCCGGAGGGTCACGGAGCTGCCGGGCAGGGCGGGAGGGCCAGCGTGGCACCACGCCGCAAAACACATGCCCGTCCGAGAGGCCGGGCAAGAATCCTCGGCCCCCGCCGCCTCCACTGAGCGCCACGCGCCCGCCTCGACCCGGCCCAGCCACTAGCGGCTGGCGCTGGGGAACTCCTAACCACGACCCCAAGGGCGCCCTGAAGGAAGAGGCGCGGGGGGACTCAGCGTCCTAGGCCAGTCAGGACCTGCTCTGGGGGTGGGGGAGGGGACGCCTTAAACGAAGGCAGGGTTTCAGTTTGAGGAAGCCTCGGGCCCTTCCAGCCCTCTCCTGTTGGAAGATGCGCCCGCACGCCGGCGTCCCCTCACCAGTCCAGCGCCCAGCCCGTCCGCTCCTCCCTCACACTCACCGTTTCCCCGGGGCCCCAGGCGGCCCAGGCACAGCTGAGGTGGCTG